TCTCTCTCTCTCTCTCTCTCTCTCTCTCACACACACCACCCACCGCCCCCCCCCCACACCCCCCCCCAAAAAAAAAAAAAACAAATCTCTCTATACCATGTTTAATAACAACTCTCTCACCTTTTTTTCTTTATTTTTTCTCACTTTCGTTTTAATATTTAATAAGATGTATCCCGTTTCAATAGGGGGTGCAACAGAAGAACATAACTTTACACAACACTTGCGCTTGGTATAACAGATGATTCGTGGACAAAATATGTTCAAATTCCCCCCTTTTCAAATAAGATATTACTATAGTGGCCAGAAAACAACGTGGTCACAAAAGTAAAAAGTACCTGTGCGGATACGTATGTCAATGTTTCTTGGGAGGAACCCTGAACCAACTGTTGTACCAACAGAACTGCGGGGACCACGCCAAGCACCCATTGGATTTGCACCAAAGCTGGATCCCGGTTGAAATGGAACAGGCTGCTAATTACATATATAGTTAAATAACTATTAAAAAAAAAGATGCACATTAAGCAAGTCTCCAGAGCTAGACTTGGACATTGAAAACCATACCTGAACCATCATTGGATTGGGACCCGAAGGAGATATAAAGACTGCTGGCCCAGAATTAACCATCGCCTCGGACTGTTGAAAGAAATAGAATCTTTTAATCATGATAAAAATGTCTCAACGCAAATTAAGGTGAGAAACTACTAAGAATTATTAGAAGGAATGAATTTACCCCAGTTCAATGTGTTAATGAAAAAAGTGTTTCGAAAATATTTGTAAAAAATAAGGGCCCAATTTCTAATTTCTTTCTTTTCTTTTTGTACCCCCCTTAAAATGTATTTTAAAGGAGACTATTGTTTTTTGTCAAGAAAAAAAAAAAACCGTGTGATGAGAGGGGACAAGTGACCATTGAGAGGCAACTTCTTGTCCATTCTCTCTCTACAAGTGTCTCTCTCATTTTCTTTTTATAGCTATATATGGGAAAGGGTTTTAGGGGGGTTTATAGTACCTTTGTAGCTCTCTCTCTCTCTCTCTCTCTCTCTCTCTCTAAAACCTCTTTCCCTCTCTTAAGCTTCCTTGTGAGTTGGGTACTAGGGATGTGCCTCTCATCTCTATAAGAGCCCTCCAGTATCATGGATAAATTACAGAACCGTGTTGCATCTCACAGTAGTTTATCTCTCTAGATTATTTTTTAGCCATTGTTTTGCAACAAGCTTATCTTCCCTTTTATACAATATGTTCATGGAAAGGTCATTCTCAACAAGTTTCTCTCTTTCCAAAGGCTACAAAACTGGGCCTGCAAATCTCTACGAATTTGGTGAGTTTGTTCCAAAATTTTGCTCATACTTTGCATCTGAAATAGTACTTGAAGGTTGGGAAAGGTTGTATGAGCAAGGGAAAACTTATTGAGTATCATTTTATTTGATTGAGTTATTTATAATGGGTTTTTGATGAGTACATGCTTGCTGGAAATAATATTGGGGTTGCTTAGAAGATGTTTACTATAGTTGCAATCGATTTTGGGCTTTGATTCTTTGTGGATAATAAAGTTAATGATTTTTGTGCATCCCTTTTGAGTACTAAAGAAATTTACAACAAGCTTTTGTGACTGTTTTGATAAGAGTTGCATGCCATATGTTTGTCTATATTTCTGGTTGAGTTAAAAACCCAACTTACATGTTATTTTAGCTCTATTTACTTCTGAAAACCAAAACTTTTGGGCTAACACAATGGGCTGCGGTATATCATCTTCCAAAGCTACACCCACGGTCAGTACTAGCACATCGATAGTTGGAGATTCATTAGTATGGTTTATCTCCAACCATTCATCAACAACAATAGAGACAAGATAAGAGTACAGTATACTTGCTGAATCTCCAACCATAAGTCAGTGAGAACTGACTGTGGGACGGTAACTTGAAATATTTACACCAGACAAATTGGACCAGAGTGCGCTTTTCCAATACAAGGAATCATACCGGTTCACGGCCCATGCGTAAGGTCATGGTTGTACGTCCAAGCTCAAGTAGAAATGCACCCAAATTCTGCAATAAAATTCCAGTTCTATTTGCAGTAGTTTGCACCCCCATGCGTGCCAGTGGATCAGTCAAAGTTGCCTCTCCTTCCAATTGGCCTGCAAGTTGCTGGTGAACATAGAAGAGAGCACAAAAAAGTTGGGGCGCGTAATCACTAGAATAGAATGACATGTATGTGAATGTATGTATGTGTATGTGTGTATATATCTATGTATGCATGTTATGTAAAGAGAAAATTTAAAGAGGGATAATCCCTTACAAGGCAGACCACCCTAAAAACCTGTTCACCATTCCTAAAACCACTCACATATTACACATATTGCCAACTTCCACAGAAGGAGAGCAACCTCCCCAACCCCTTCCACCAATAACCAGATATTATGTAAATTGATAAGCTTGTCAATACTGATGGTATACACTTCTACATATCTCAGATTATGAAGGATTGATATACACAGGACAATCAAGATTTCCCTTGCTAATTAGCATAAAAAAAAAGATTTCCCTTGCTAATTGAGCTTGGAAACATAGGGATACACATTGGCACAAAACAAAATAGTCAAACATGATATGTTACCCGAAGCAATAGTGTGTACTGTTTGGATGCATAAAAGTTTTCACACCGAAGCAATAGTGTGTATTGTTTGGATGCATAAAAGTTTTCACAAATAAATGCATGTCCTACTTTCTAGCACATGTGCCATAGAGAATGGAATCTAGTACATAAAAGTATAAAACCAGCTTAGTCAATATCAAATTAAGAAGTTCCCAATAAACTCCGCAGATGAGGCATATTCCACTTCGAAGTATGGAGGAATTTGGGGAGCACTGAAAGGGCCACCGAAGGCACAAGCGAAATGCATAAAAGCATTTTCCCTTAGTATGGGGGAGCACATGTAGCCTTAAGTAGGCACCATGAGGAGGCCCCCCTGAGGTAGGTGAAATTGCAAGGTCCCTTTTGACTTCTCAGCTCCAAATGAATATCTGAGGCTCTTTCATTTTGTAATAACATGGAAACAGACTAGGAACTTTTAGCCAAAATTAACCCCAAGAACCAACAAAGACATTACCATATGATAGTTGTGGCATTCAGTTACCATATGATAGTTGGGGTATCTAGCTATTAGAATCAAGTCCATGGGTATGCGTAAATAAAACTTATAATTCTCCTCAACCATTGGACAGTTTCAAGTCTCAGAACTCGAGAATTTTGAGCTTAAATAATATACATATCATTGCCATTCGAGGCATTTATAACGTTGTTTTTGTTCAAACATTTCCACTCCCATGTATTTGAGTTTGTGGTTTCTGACTTTATTTCAATGCAAAGACAGGTACAAAAAAACGATTATTCAACTTAGGCAAATTTAAGTCATTCAAAGCCTTATGTGGGCAAATGGAGAAGATTAATTGCAACACTGTGTATTGAAGTGAATTGGAAAACAAATAGGAGTTTCTGATGTGATGCATATATCCATTACTCCTATTGTTCACAAGGCAAGAATGGAAAAAATGAGGACCACAAACACATCCATTTTTTTTATTGCAAGAAAAAAAGGAAATAAATTAAGAACTCCGCATAATATGTGGTAGATTGAATATGCAATCCCACAAAAATTTACAAGCAAGGTATTTACTACTTTATACGTTGTATCTATTGGATGCCGATGTCCCAAAACAATCCCGAGATTCAGCTTGCTCGTAAGTTCATCCACAATTCCTAGGAGTTGGAATGCAGTAGGTTTATCCACAATGCCTAGGAGTTGACATGGGATGCTATACTAAAACACTAGGGTTTAAAGTGTTTCAGGTACATTTTGAGCTCGTAACAGAAAGAAAGGTAAAACATGGATACAATATAGCTGCATAACTAAAACAAGTGTTGGCACATCAATCTTGGTACAATGAGGATGAGGAGATGATGCAGATAAGGAATTGGTCCAGCAACGGCACATTGCGTTTGCAAATATTTTGTCTAATGAAAACCCTTATATCGTTCCTATGTACATAACACATTACATGAGAGTACTATGATGCAAAGTACATGTATACAACCAATAAACTAAATTACCTAACTGCATGTATCTATCATCTAGATCAACCATGCATGTTTACATTTCAGGAAACTACCACATCAGATCACTACCAAAAAGATGTAAATGAACAGCACCTTCTACACATTGCATGTTTGTGTAATGCAATCACAAACCACACTAGGCATAAAATGAATTTTCTTTCAAATTGACTGAAATAGTGGGAAAAATAACATATTTGGTTTTGCTCTTAAAAAAACCAAAATAAGGAAAGAAAGAAAGTTTCTTCTCTTTTCCTAAGATATCAGGTAGTTCATACTCTTTTCCCATCTTCTCTCTAAGCATTTAACTAAATTCAAGGGTTTTATGGAAAAGAAATGATTTCAAGTATTACTAAAACAGTTCATCATCACTAGAAACAGTTTCTAGAATTATCAGAATAAATCTAGTCACCTTTATTCAAAAGTAAGAAAATGCTTTATACCAGTCCTCGGTACCAGCATTCACAGGTATCAGTAAGATGAGCAGAAAAGAGCATCCTGGAATCTAAGAGCTCTTGTCTACCAGGACTTTTTGGTTTGATTCATTCAGCTGAGTTTCATTTTTGTCGATAACAGAGTTCCATAAAACACCCAAAAAAAAAATAGAATGATGTCCAAAGAACCGACCGAGAGAAAATGATACTCCCCAAAGCCACTGAATCAAACCCTAAGGCATCACTCTCACTATATCTACTACATACAATAGCAGTAATAGACGAAAAAGGAAACAACCCCGACTAAACCAAAACTTCAATCCAAAGGGTGACTTTCTCTAACATTCAGAATTCTATGTTATCATTTTATTTTTTTCCATCATTCAGAATAACAAATGTTATACAATTCTTAGCTCCAAAATAATTATATTAATATATGTTTCCCTCCCCACATATTACAGCCCCCTTAAACAAGTTACGAATTGAACATATTGGGGCAGTGATTCATCAAACGATCAAGACGGTCATCCCCAAAAACTGGAAGTAATCAACTGTCAAGGTAAGGATCAGTCACTGAATCCACTACAGCACTACCCATCAAAATTAACAAACCATTGACTATAAGAAACCACACTCATCAAAACCAAAACAACTAATCAAGAAAACCAAAACAACTAATTATATTTTTTTAATTTATGGTTTCCTATCAGCATATTTCGCATTCACTATTCAATAGTTCGCCAATAACAAGAAAACCCAGACTTACTGATAAGCTTGATCCAACATTTTCAAGGAGAATTTGCCTTGAAGAGCGTAGGACTTCAGCCAAGTTTGCAGGCATTGGAAAACCACCACTAACTGAACCTGGACGCTGTCCAAGATAGTCCACAGTTCCAATTCCATTTCCGCCAACCTGTGAATTATTGTTGTTGTTTGTACCTGCTGACAGAAGTGGTTCAATTGTCATCATAAAGTGCAAGAATTACCAAGATCCAGAAGGGCTGTATGGGTCATGTGAAAGAGAACTAAGAATCACAGAATAAGAGTACACACCATCAGCACTAAAATCTTGCCTCATATGGCTTAAATACTGAGAGAGAGTTGCTACAGAATCTGGTATGACCTGCATAAAAGTCAATATAAGACACATGTAACCGAAGTCTTTGCTGCTATTATATAAGAACTAAGAAGAACTTTGTTCACTGAAATAAAAAAAGAAAAAAAGTAAAAAGATCCAGTCATCCATGACTTTCTTTTCTAAGACTCATCCACATGAAGCTTACTCCTGGGAGAGGAGTCAAGGGAACTGCAGCTGGGATTCGAAAAGGGCCCTGCACTGGATCAAATGGGGCTCTAGGAGATCCTTGCTCAGGTTGTAATTGAACTGAACTGGGCATGCTATTAGCATCAGTTCTTCCATGAGCATTAAGAGAAGATCCCTGACAAATAAAAACAAAAAACATGCACGGCGACATGGCTAGAGTTCCAAAAATATAAGTACTACACTAATTTACTCAATTTTGAATACACATAAAAATAAAAATAAACGGTTTTTCTAAATACAGTTTCTCAAAAGAGTGGGAATAGTTTTTTTCAAAAAATAAAAGCTGATTTAAGGTACATTACCGCTGTAACAGGTACTTCAGTACCCATGCTGGCACTACCAAGCCCAACAGAACTGAGAACAGCAGAGACAATCTACAAGCAAAGAACAAAAGCACTTTTCTAAAGATTGAAAACGTATGATCACAATGTACAGTTAAAAGAGAGAGAAAACAACTGCAACAGCATTATAAGGGTACAATTGCATTGTGGATTATCCAGAATAAAGAAAAACAACTTTCATAGTTACAACAACATCCAGAATAAAACCCCATTTAGTGTACAGGGCGTAACACTTTCTGCAAAAACCTGGGCCGCATGAAACGCCATATAGATTGCCCACATATATAAGGCCACCACCATCAGCAACTTATGCATGATCCAAACATGCCCTAAAATCACCTCAAAAGACGAATAAGAAAAAAGAAGGCAGATGATTTATGTGACATCCATAGCTTGTAGGCTCACCCGGTTGAGATCCTGAATAGCTCCATCACCTTGATCAGCAATATCAAAGGTACCAAGTACTATGCTGTGAGCTACAGGAGTAGCACCAGCATTCAGATCATTTGCTGCATATGATCAAATGCATATGCATTAGAAGGGAAAAGTTGTTAAAAGGGATACCACATGATTTAAGTAAAATACAATTTATCACTGGTTAAAAAAATTATAAAATTGCCATTTACAGATAGCTTTTTTATATGAAAGGTTAGTGATGGTTTTCAAAACCTCTACTCAAATGATTTGCACCACTGGTTGATATCTATTTTAAAGATACCAATGATCTCACTGAAAATATCTTGAAATGCGGACTATTTTCTTAAAAATCCCAAACAACAATCATCTGTCGCTTGTAGAAAACAGGAACAGCACATGGTGGCACTGCCTGTGACTGCGGCCCATGCCATCATAAGCAGAGTTCAAGCCATTCTGACTGGCCGAGGAATCTCTCAGTTCTTTTTTTTCTTTTTTTTTTTGATAAAGGAATCTCAGTTCTTCTCTGGGTGAATACTATCAGAGGCATTCATAAAGAAATGCCCCCATCTTTGGGGATCACGATTTTATGGAGATGTCACTTACTCTCTAGCTACACACAACAACTATTTTTTTTTTTGGATAAGAAAGACACAGTATATTGGTTTCGTCAAATGGTATACTTTTTTTGCCTAAATCTCCATAAAGCATGAAAGAAATGGAAAGATGTCCACTGGACATGATGAGGCAATAATAATGAATAAATAGGCCTCAATACAAAATACCAGTATCATTGCTGCATCGTTCCTGAAGAGCACTATGAACTCAAGGAGAATCACATACCATACCAACTCGTATTTATGACAATAAAATAAGCACATACCTTGATGATCGGGTGCACTCTCATTACCCCCTGTCAAAGGTGATGGTGAAGGTTCAGGTTGCCGAACAACCAAATGCAGCGTGTGACCATCTTCAACATCTGAATCAAGTTAAGGGACTAGAATTCCGAGCCAGAAAATTGGGAGAAAAACTTTCATAAAGAAAAAAGGAAAAGCATTTGCAAAGTTACATGTTATATTCAATGTGCATGTTACAACAGAGATTGATTCTCAGGAAATAATAAGCTGTATCTCGATGAACTTTATGAATTGATAATGCAAATGGAATACAGAAGGCTCAATACAAAGATTGAAGAACTATGCTGCTAGTGAGTACACTACAAGATCAACTTTCGAAAGATCCACATGGAGCAAAACATGGTTGATCTGATGAACGGCGATTCTCACCACGACAAACAAATAATTTCACACGATAACAATTATTATTTAGATTCAACATCCAGATAAGATTCAACGAAATTCAGTAACACAAGAAATTCCGTCGCATTAATTAGCAAGTTTATGTTCACAACATCAGAAGTCCGGTTAAAGGAGGAGGGTTGTGTTAGGTAGGCCAGCCACCATAAAGCTTTGCCACATCTTTTCATGAATCCTAAACCTATCGGCCCTGATAGAGCAGAATAGCAGAACAAGATTTGTGTAGCACACCCCAAATAATTGGGACAAGGCTCGGATGATGATGATGATGATGATGTCCATAGCATTAGAAATCTAACAATACTAAGAGGAGGGTGGAGTTCTAGTGAATTATTAATCAATCATCCACCACATAGTAACCAACTATCATTCTCCTCATTCACAAGAAGATCAAATAAACACCGGTCAAGGCCTAATAAAAAAGATTCACACACTCAAATGCTCACCCTACAGCCACTAATTGTGAGCCTCAATTCTCAAAAGTAGATAAAGTAAAGATTTAAAGGTGACAAAGTCCACTTTTCATTAAGGCTAGGTCCACTAGGATAAAGTGCCATTTAGAGAAATGGATGAGCAGAGTTTTAATTCATGGAAGCAATCATTTGTCTCGGTGCCAAAAAAACAAAAAACAAAAAAACAAATCACAGGTTAATGAAAAGACAGAAGTGTCTCAGTTAATCATCAAAAATCAATTTAATTCTGTTGCTCAAGGCATCAAAGAAATTCAGTAGTACAGGTCAGCAAAAGAGGTATAATTGAATGAAATATCTATACACTTGGTGAAGGATGACAATAAGATTGCCATAATTGACCGGGCAGGGCAGGGCAGGGCAGGGCAAGGCAAGTCAAGGTATTCAGGGGGTATGCCACCTCAGACATCATCTTAAAATGGAAGCCCTTGCCATCACAAGGTCATCCCTCAGGTCACCTCTAGAGCCAAACACCATCAAACTCAATGTTGATGTGTTTTCCCTTAGTAATCCTGGAAGGACTGGCACCACTATCTTCTCTTTCTTAGGGCCCTTTGGCATCGCTCCTCTCATTTGTGACCAAAGCACATACCTTGTTGCAAGGACTCCAATTGTTCAACAAAAGATGGGCAACTCATTAATGGTGGTCTCCAAAACACATCAACCAGGCTAAGAGGGATCTCTTTGACTCTTTGTCCATGGAGACTACACCAAATATTTAAGGAAATTTTAGTGCACAGTGCACCTCTCAATATAAAATGTCAGAATGTTCGGCATGAAGCCAGTAGCATTGTCAATGGCCTGTCAAAACAGGGGGACCATCAGCAATGCACTTAATCTCAATCACCCATAGCCAATGAGGCCAAAGATGTTCAGTAATCTTTGAGACAGCCCACTAGTTTTTGGAATTTGGAAGGTTGAGCTCCTTTTGTTGTATACTGTATATGGCCATGCAAAGAGTAATATATCATGCTTATTCGGTTTTAACACAATACAGTCAAGTTCATCACACAGAAGAGGTACAGCAATAGGTTCACTTGGTCTCTCAAGGCATCAAAGGAGTGATCCAGTATGAATTTCTTTTCTTACTAGAATCTAACAAGAGAAGATAATGGAGATGTCCCTCAAGGGTATTGAGCAGCACGGGGTCACGAGCATCACAGCCAACAATGGCTGCAAGTGTAACTAAAAATCTTCTCTCCATTACCTATCAAAAAACCATCATCATCATCATCATCTAAGCCTTATCCCAACTATTGGGGTCAGCTACCTAAAGAAATAACCAAGAGTAGAAATTTTCACAAATTAATATTTCTGCCAGAACTAGGTAAAGCAATCCCCTAAGCACTGTATCACAGAAACAATTCATCGATGCATCATAATTTAACGGATGGAACTCCAAGACATAAGGCATTTAATGAGTATATTTCAGGATCAATGGGTGCTCTGTGGCTGTCAGGGTTAAGGCATGGCATCTACACCATCAATTCATCTTAACTCAAGGGGTTTCACTCTTGCAGTTCCTTCACAGCAATAATATGCAACTATAAGGCTTTCAGTTTAGAGACATTCATAGAGTGAGGATGAGTTGTCTTGAGAACTAGCATATGATGCCTCCACTTCATTCACCATCCAAACATGTCAAACATGTATGTTTTTAAAACTTGGCAAGAGAGACTGGATTGTAGATTACTAGGAACTTTGTGCATGAGTCAATATCCCTGCCACCCCACCATGAGTCGTGTCAAAGTGATGTTAGTTCCTAAGGTGCTACCAAAAATCCAGTTTGTAGGGGTAAAGGAAAGCTTCGTGTGCGGTAATGCAAGGATCCATTTTATTATGCAACTTCAAATTAGGCACAAGCACAAGCAGGCTTCAGTGAATTAGGCTCTCAAAGTCCATCCAATCATGAACACTGGTTCCAAATAGCATGGCATAAACATCATCAAATGGGTTAGGGTTGCCTCCTTAAGCCCCAGGCCTGACTTATCATCTTTTTACGAGAACCCATACTTCATGACAACTCCACATAGCAGAGACAAACTACATTCATTGGAAAACAATTTCCAAAGATGCAAACTGATGTAGAGCATTCAAAAGGACATTCTTAGGTATTTCCTTTTAATTATAGTATCAATGAAGCCACAAGGTGAAGGAAAAAGAACATTACAACATAGACATTCTTCCAGTCCAATAAAATAGAAAACTGGAGCAGGATACGATAAGCAGAGAGGAGTTGATCATCCTTTAAAACTTTTCCACGGCAAATCAAGCGTTGTTGCTCTGATAATACCCCAGTAACAGTTGCTATTTGTTCCTTTAATGCAGGAACTGGCATCTGTGCGACAGTATAAAGAAACAAACAAGTGTGAGTATCAATAATGAGTAAAACCAAAATGACTATTTTTACATAGATCAAGAATAATGAAAAAGCCCCATTTATGTTACTGGTAACCCTTTCTTACACACTCAATGTTAAACATGCAACTTTACCAACACAACTCATAAAAGATAGAACACATCTACAAGCACTTTCAACAAAGTAGAGCAACTCCAATTTTCATTTTTTCTTTTTTTTTTGACCAATCGTGAACAACTAACCACTCAAGCCCGAGCACGATTCCCAAGCAAAACAACTCCTAGAAAAACTAAACAAACAAAACATCAAAAAAATAGACAAATACTCTTACATATTTATTCACTCGTAGAGTGAATGTTTGGGAGTCCAAGGTTTTTATCTTTATCTCCACTGTGGTCTCAGCAGTATCACCCTCATCACTGCAAATCATCACTTCATCAGCACCATTGGTTCCCATCCTTCCCGTAGGCCAATCAACCTGTAATTTTTGTACTCATTACTAAAGAACCCATTAGGATGAATTTTCAAGTACAGTGGAACCACGAAAGACCCCCCAAGGAAAGGAAAATTAATTACAAACATACTAATTTCGTAGACAATTTCGACATGATTACATAAAGCACTAGATGCTGGCATACAAAACTACATGTCCATAATGAATCGAAGATCATCAAATAGAGGATATGCAATAGTCATCCAAAAAAAGGAGGATATGCAGGTACAACGACTAGGTAGAGATTAAAATTTCATTAAAGGAAGCAACCTGTATAACAAAGACATGCAAGATAGATATGTTTCGGTTATCTAGAATGCGTTAGAAATGCCAATCCACATTCCACACTTCCAATTTTTTGTGCCAAACTATTGCAAATTCCAGAAATTTCCATGATTTAAAGATGTATGACTTACCACATGATTTAAAGACATAATTTGTCAAACTCAATTGCTTTTTTTTAATATATTAATTTTCCAATTAGCATAAAAAATGTATCAATTTTGCAAACCGATATATAAGCATCCATATGTGGACATGTCAGCACCTTAGCGCAACATGGTCTTGACTTGTCCAACATCGTTCTTCATTTTTAGAATCTGTGGCAAACAGAGACATGCATCCATATCCTTGTAATATAAAGCAAAAAAATTGCACGCATCCATATCCTTGTAATATTAAAAACAAGACGTTACATTGTTTAGAAACTATTGCCCACTAACCAATTATATCCTTCCAAGAACTATCAAGACCTTTGAGACTCTGTAGTTCACACAATATCAACAACGCATTCCCATTTTTTTCCTATTTTGCCCCCCAAAGTAAGTACCTTTCTTAAATTGAATCGTTCATGGATGGCAATAAGCATTATTTAGTCCTATCCAGGTATTCATAATTAACTCATGGTCTCTCCCCAACTTATTTGACAAATAGACAACTTTTCTTCCCAGCCCATCAAAAAAGAAAAAAGATAATTGTCATGCCTTAACCATGAATAACACCGTTCATGAACATAGATACAAAATTGTACAGCCACCCAAGAAACTCGCATCGAGGTTCATGATAAAAAATTGTACAACCGCCCAAGAAACTCGCTTCTACATAAATGACAATCTCTTAATATAGACCAAGATCCTCATGGCACAAACCACTAGATCAATAAAGCTCAAATTATGGTAGTTCTCAAGGACACTGTTATGAAGATCGGATCACCTACTAAACTGATGAGAGATCTAGTCCAGTCAAAATCAATTTGATTGCTAGTCAAATTGGCTAGACCGGATTTCCAAAAATTTAGGAACAATCGTTTAGAAAACATACAATATCTGACAAAAAAAAATTCGAACTTTCTTTAAATGTGTGATCAGTCAAAACCAGTACAACGAAAACTGGTCAAATATTGGTCTTGAAAAGTCTTTTTGACCAAACCCATTGTTTGCTATGGACTGGCAGGGCCAAGGCACCGATTGGTGGTCCAACCAGTTGGACTGAATGGTCTGGTCTGGTCTTTATAACCATGCGCAAGGAAAAACAAGGCCACTTAGGGCATGGTTCGCCAATTCGGGGCTCAAAAGTGATTTGATGAGCTATAAGTCAAGTCAACCCAGGACTTAGGCGAGTAAACTTGGTGTCTAAGGAAGGGAAACAGTATGGAAATTTCATGACATGCCACAACTATTTAAAAATGTGGGACTTGCTATTCAAACCCAGCTTTTTGAACATGACAATTTGAAATACTGGTATCTTGTAGTCATCGACTTTTTAAAAGGGGAAGATTCAACTATCACTTTTTTATTATCCGGCCACCTTTTTTGTAATTAGCCACTGAAAACATGGATTGCAGCAATATGGATGGAATATTGATTTAGCCACTACGTCGGTGGATTATTAAAAATAGAGGCCGAATATTCCTATATTTGGAAAGGTGAGATTTTTGAGCGGAAAGGCAAAATTGGAAAGTGCCACTCCCACGGTTTCGGCCCCTACACCAATGATGCTCTCTTAATTTCCATGCATATAATGGGAGAAGTATTAAAATAAACATCTCTTGAGAAATCGTTGCTAGCATTCCCATATTATATAAATTGACATAGATATCCATAAACACCGATGTTGGGCTTCGATCTCGGCAACATGATTCCTCTAAATACCAGATGATGACAGGAACCTAAAGTTACAACTTACAACAGGAATCTAGAATCACCAGTTATGAATCGTTAAATTTCTTTTGTGTTCGAGTTGAAAAAAAAAGCTTAGAAAACACTAAAGGCACTACTGATGTTCACATGGATCGAACATACAAGTATGTCATATTTTCAGAGGACCAGCAGTAATAAGAAAAAGCATGCTAACTGCGAAGAAGAATAACACGTAACAAGATGATTACTCATCAACTTGGCCTTTTTAGTTTTGCTTTGTCACAAAGTTTTCTCCATCTCAAAACTTCAATGACTGTTTAAAATTACAAAAGTATCAAGTAAACCAATAAATTATGTGACAAATATCTGGAATGAACAACAATATGTTCCTCTAATATGTCAACGCAACATTGTACACCATCTACTGATCATAGTCAAAAACTGATATACCCCAACAGTGGGTGTAAATTTTAATGTTTCTAATCATGTTATCCAATCACAATTCTCTATGTATCGTGATTTTTGTCATGCATGCCATTCCTCGAGACATGAATAACTGACTCCTCCCAAAAATTTCAAAACAGTTTTGTCAAAAAAGTAGGCAAAGATCTTTAACAAAGAATAGAACATCGATCAAGATCACATGCAACTTTCAAAACCCTAGAATTCACTTAACCAGACAGCACAAAAGAAGTCACAAAACCATCAGCATGAGTTCAAACAAACATCATTTTGACATGATGAAAAGAAACAATGCTCAAGATTATGCTTTGAGAAGACAACGAGTAAACAACTAGGAAGTAAACAACTAGGGCTTTTCAATAAAATCCGCCACTATGGAAGAGAGACAAACCCAAGAGCTAACCACGATGTATACTCTCTCTGTGAAGACAGAGAAATCTACTGCTGAAGAATGAATGCAAGCAGAAAACAGCGAACAGTAATTGACCCAAGCAATGATAGATAAAATATTACCAGAAAAAGAAATTGCAGAGAGAGTGCAAGCAAGCCTGGAGGTCCTCTCTCTCCTCTCTCTCTCTTTCCCCCTCTCTCTCCGAGAAAACTAAGGCTTCATATAGTTACGCTTTAAAGTAAGGCTGATGCTTGTATAAGGTGCCCACCTTATACTATACAAATAAGGCGCACCTCAGATTTTGCCTGTAATAGAATTTTCGTGTCGGACACTTCATAACAGGTTGGAAATTTATGTTAGAACCCTAATTATAGAATTTAAAATTTTCAAAATAATACATATCAAATAGATTTATAAATACTTAAAAGTTTTGAAAATAGATGGTCAAGATAAATTGTTACATTATCATTATTTTAAAGACAAATTTCTTTTTTTTTTATAACGATAATTCTTGAGGTTGGGGTGATCAATTTGACGGTTTTCTAGCTTCAAAATGCTCTTATCTACTAGAGTTTTTGAAGTACACCTTATTTCTATAGTATTAAGTTACAACATTTTTTCTTGAAGTAATTTAAACATTTTTTTTTTGGAATTTCAAGATGGATTCCATTTGGCTTAAATTTGCTTTCAAGTCCATTTTGCCTTTGAACTAGTCCGCATAATTGAACCGGAATGGTTAACCGGATATGGGGCCAAAAGCAGTTTAACCGGTAGACCAGCCGATTCAACCGTTCTAACCGGACAAGTCCCAGGCGGCCAAAAAATTGTTGAAAAACCTGAAAAAGATGCAAAAAAAATCTATTGAAATATGAAAAGCATGTAAATAATGATTAAAACAAAACACATTCAAATGAAATTGAAACTTTTGGATTTTAAAAGTGAGTATTAATGACCAAAATAATTTTTAATATTTTACCATCATGTAAAAAATATTAAAAAAATGTATTACAAATCAAATTCCTTATTTTTGGAATTTTATAGATATTGTTTTGAATTTTTATTTTTAAAATACCGGCCGCCCGAAACCGGAATCGGTAAGGGGCCAGTTCCGATCTAACTGAGCGGCTACCGATTAGATCGGGCAGTTTTTCAAATAATACTTTAAACATACCTTTAGCAAAAAAGATCCAAACCCATAATGCTAATTTTTCTAAAAACCAAGATCAATTATTCTTAAAGGGAATAGTTTAGACATTTCCATTTTTAGTAGGGTGCAGTTTGCATACGAATGCATCCGTTGGTGTAGAGGTAAGGTGCACCTTCAAATTTAACATGGTATATAATTTTGATGTAAAATATCTTAGGATTATCTCAAAATCCATTTTTATATCGAATTATAAAATTTTAAATTTCAAAAATGGTTAACATCAAGTAGATCTATAAACATATGAAAATCTTGAAAATTGACGGTGTAGATAATATGTTGTAAAATGCGTTATTTATGAGACTTAAAATCTTTTTATTTTTCATAGTCATACATCTCGATATCGAGATGATCAATGAAAGGGTTTTTCAACATTAAAACTACCTTTTCCGATAGATTTTTGAGGGGCATCCGTAGTTCTACATTATAAAGTAGCATCCTTATATAAATTTTTTCTTTATTAGTAAGGAAAAGTGCTTGGTGACTCGGCCAACTCACTTGTAGATGTACGCCCCTTCAAAATCCATGTTATTTTGGATCGAATTTTCTAGTTTTGTCAATCTGAACTATAGTGGTAATTACGAATTTATAATTTTTCCTTTAGAAAAATAAAAACTGCACTTTTGAATTTTGTTTTCCACCATCTATTTTGATGTATAATGGATGCACCTTTTTCTTGAGATGGGCATCTGATGCATAAGGAGATGCATATGTTTTAGAGAGTCGGCTGGCTCACCAAGATTGTGTCCTTTTATAATCATGTTAGTTTTTTATCATTGTGCCACCCAAATCATAGGTGGTTCTATTAGATAGACATGGACCTTTTGAAATATGCAAATTTGGATTTTCGATTAAAAATTGGCTGGAAAAGACGGGCTCCCTTCTTCCATTCGGCCACTCAATTTGAAGAGAGAGGAAGTTATTAACCACATTTTGGCAATAAGAAAAAAAAATTCTCTCCAAATATTTTTTCTTTAAATTGGCTTTCCCTATGAATATAAGGAGGACACGGTTTCTATAATTCCATGTAGAAAAAAAATATATATTTGAGATGGATTTTCGAACCCAAATTTTAAGCACATGTAATCTTTAATATGGATATCATAAATATGAATAAATAAATAAAATTTTAAAAATAATAATAATAATTTGATGAAGTAAACATTTGGACTGTATTGATTTTAAATAGACCACCCATTAGTATCCATCTTTAAGATGAATGCTTTATAATGCAGGGATGTAGAAATGCGGAACGCGAACGCATGAAACAATTATCCTTGTAATAAAAGATGTTTCTTTTTTTATTTTGAAATTTATTGTATTTATTTATTGAGAAAAACACACTTGGAGAGTTGATTTGAGTGGTAGTGGAGTACCACAATGTTAGTTTCAGGAGTAGAGGTATTATTAACCTGCAACACTTGTATTTGTGTGTGTAAACCGCCCACCTCTCTACTCTCAACTCTGTCTCTCTCTACCACCACCTCTCTCTTCCTGTAAGCACTCTCTCCACCCTCATTTCCTTCATTGCGCTCTCTCTCTCTCTACTTTCAGTTATCTCTCTACTTCTACAAGCACCTTCCACCTCGTTGCTCCCTCAATTTACTATCAACTCTCCTCTCTCTACTCTCACTCATTCTCTCTCTCTATCTTATTGCTCTCCTTTGTTGGCTCAATAATACAAAATAATGCTCAATAGGGAAAATGTTTCTTATATGACCTCAACAACATATAAGTTATATGTAACCTCACTTTTTAGCCATTCGATCTGAATCAACAAAATATAAGTTATATGTAACCTCACTTCTTAGCTGTTCGATCTGAATCAGATGGCTACGATTGTTCATACCACAACGTCATGTCAAATACTGTTTTACTTTTCATTTTTTTCTACAAAATATTTTTGATTAAATTTTGGCCGTCCCATCAAAACATTAGGGCGAACCTGGAAAAAATAAAAAACTAAATTTTTTATGTAAAAATAAATTACTGAAATGCCTCTGAAATTTTTTAGGGTTATTCTGGTATTTTTTCATCATTAGAAATATTTTTTAATATTTTTATCATGTGCGCTCTTGTTAGATCTATGGATGCCCCAAATTTTGCTTCAAAAATATTTGTAGAATAAAAATAAAAAATAAAATACTATGAGTCATCTGGTCAAGATCAGACGATTAAGTGCTAACTTGTGACATTGCGGTTCAAGTCATCTCAGCATCTACTCAAATCTAATGGCTGAGACCAAGGGTCACATATACCATATATGTGGGTGGGGTCATATAAAAAGCCCTCTACAGTTTGGTCATTGTACAATCAGCTTATCGGGGGGACTTTAAAGCTCATCCGAGGAAACATGGGATCTTGTTATAAAGTTTGGGTCACATTAAGACCTTTGCACGCGATGCATGTGCTCACCACGCTTCCTTAGCACGCGATGCATGTGCTCACCAAGCGTGGAAGTCCAAGGCTTTTATTAAGCCTTGCTCTTCCTAAATTCCCCTATGGGACTTGCTCCATCCTTTAAGCCTTGCTCTTCCTAAATTCCCTCATGGGACTTGCTCCAGTCCTTAGCGCTCCAAGCGTCTTCAAAATAATATGTAGTTTTCATTAGATCCAGATCACACCCATAATTACAATTGTATAATTATAAAAATTTATAATACTATTAATAAATATGATTGTAAATTTAAAATCAATCCAAATGATTTCAAATGTCATATATATTGGCTTCCTACTATAAATATGATCACATTAAAATTATATTAATAGTATTATATCGAATGAATATAATTACATTAAAATTGTCAAATTATTTACTAATGCAATGCTCCTAATTTATTCTAGAAACTAAAAGCATATTATTTTTAGATATTTATAGTGATTTTTTGAAAAATATTGAAACAAAAATGTTATTATTTTTTGTTTAAAAAATGCTTAAGTGTATTTCAAAACAACAAATTTGGTTTTATTGCTCTTTACTAATTTGCTTTTATAGAGAGAGAAGGATATGGGTTTGAGTCCTACATTAAAGAGAAAAGAGTTTGTTGAGCTATATTCAAGATTATAAGTACAAATAAGAGAGAAGGTACATGCACAGAGCACGCAAAGCGTGCGACATGCACGCGCATGCACGTAACGTGCGTGGGCACAAGAGTGTTTGATAGCACACCACCTCTTAGCCCTCTATAACAAGGGCCCTCCTCCTACCCATATTAGAATAATTTTTTAGCCCCTCTCAATAGACTGTTCTCTGCAATTCTAACAAGCAAACTAGTGGGCTAACTCTCTCTCTACTCTATTTTGTCTTTTTTTCTCTAAACTATCAAGAATCTGGTGTCTCATGCATGAGTTCCAAACTCGGGTGCATAGAACTTAAGAACATAATAACCTCTGTTTTCCTATATCCCGAGGATGAATTGTCTTTCTTATGCAAGTCCAATACTATATCGAAGGGGGCTAAATATCGTCTTGAAATAGTGCTCCTGCGTGCCCAAAAACAAGAAAAGTTCGAGATCTAATTTTGCAAATCGTAAATGATATTCATGGGTGAAAGAAATGAGACTGTCATGACTTATTTGAAGGTTATGAATCACCACTTTACTCAACTTGAATGCTTCCGTGGGCTAAACTTCAAGAGATGGCAGCAAAAAGTTTTCTTTTTGCTTGACACTCTCAAAGTGCCTTACATATTCACCAAGTCAATACTTGCACCGCCGCCACCATCAGATGACTCCACTGACGAGTAAACTCAATCATACAAGAGATGGATGGAGGATAACTACATATGCAAGGGTCATATCCTAATTGCATTGGAGAACTCGATCTATAACTTTATGCCTCCATTGGCACGGCGAGCGAGCTTTGGAAACTGCTTAAAACCAAATACCTCACGGAAGAGTCTGGTAACAAAAAAATTATGATCTCTAACTTTTTAGATTTTAAATGCATTGAAAACAAACTTGTACTCTCTCAAATATGTGAGTTGCAGCATGTAGTCAATTAACTTAAAGATTGTGGTATTTC